ATATATATATATATATATATATATATATATATATATATATATATATATATATATATATATATATATATATATATATATATATATATATATATATATATATATATATATATATATATATATATATATATATATATATATATATATATATATACACACACACACACACACACACATACAATTTAATTCAACATTATCTACAGTTTTTTCTTTTTCTTTTACAAAAGTTAGGAAATTTGGATCTGTAGTAGTAACTGGTGAGGAAGAAGATAATAGGGAAAGTACAAGTTTACCTTTTAAATAAAAAATAAATAAATTAATAGAACCACTTTTTTGGAGTACCAAAGCAAGACCCATTTTTTTAAATTTTTTTAATATATATCATTTACGTTATACGTATTTTGAAATATGCCATCTAAATTTTTATAATTTTAAAATTATCCTTAAAATTCTTTTTTTATTTAAGTTTACCATGAGACTAGATATAATTTGATTTTTTTTAGCAAATTTTAGGATCCAATTAAATTTAGAACCCTCATGTAATTTAGGACAAGAACCTAGTCTCAAATATCTCAAAGCACTGAGATTCAATCTTCTTTTTTTCCAGTTTCTCATCCAAATCGAATGAAGCCCTAAGATCTTCTATCATTTGATGGCAACAGTTGTTACCTAATCATCACCATAACTCAATGAAGCATAAAAATCAAGAACAAAATTTCATCTTTATATCTCTTCTTATTTTTTTTCCACCATTTTAACTTATTTTTATGAACTATATTGTTCTTGTTAACTATGTAAAAATGATCTTGATCATAAGAATATTAGCAAAATAGTCTCTAATCTTCAAAACACAAGACTGCAACTCCGATAGTTGCAAGAGAAGATAGCGATGGTGCAATTGTTTGGCACCGGACAAAAGAGTACAATCGTCAGAGACATCATTATTGGCAGGGAAAGATGCAATAGATAAAGAAAAGGGACACAAAAGAAAATTAGAATGTGTATTTGACCTAATGGTTTGTTTAGGCATTTTAAATATTTTTATTATTTAAACAAAATATTACATTTAGATTCTCTAACAATTAACTTATGAACAAAATTTAAGAAAGCGAAAAGTTTTGAGGTATGATGATGGGGGAGAGGGGGTGGAATTAAAAATTCTTATAGTTTGAGAAATATATATTGAAAAACCTCTTTAATTATTATATTCTTTGGAATATTATTATTGATTTAACTCTAATTTATTTTATTTTTCTAATTTTTCTCCCTAACCTTGTTAACCTCTTAACAATAACAAGAAAAGACGTCTTTGTCCTAACAATATGAAGATCAAACTAAATAGATTGAAGACGAAGGATGTTAGAAAAAACTCAAATAAGGTTATAGCATGTAAAAATTTGAAATAAAAGAAACAGTAAAATCTAACCTGATGGTGAGCAGTCGTGTAAACACTGCCCTAGAAGATTAATAACCCACCTATCGCCCTGACGCAGATGCTCCCCTCTCCTCTAACGATAAAATCCCCCGAAATTGGTCAGCCTCTGAACTCGGGCGAGAGTGCAGAGCTTCTGCTCAGATAAAGAAGATTGCCAAAAAAACTGTAGCTGAGAATTTTTTAAGAGGAATAGTTCGGAGGAAGAGAGAAAAGAGCTTTTTGTTTCTGAGAGGGAGAAAGCTCTGAAACTTGTTGTGTCTTCCGAGATGGTATAAGCACGGTATATATAAGGTGAGAAACCAGAGCCGTTGTTGGATCCAAACGCACGTTATGTGAAACTCGCACACCGCCGTTACACACGTTTTCAAAGAAGCTGTTATGCACGTTCTCAAAATGTGTAAAACGTGCAAAAAGAAGTTAGAGAAAATAAAAACGCGTGCTCGTGCTGTGCGACGAGGCATGGCGCACGCACATCACGGCGAGGCGAGGCATGCGCGCACACGCGTGTGTGTGTTATGCAAAGCCCAAATAATACAAAGCCAAAAATACCCCCTTCTTAAGGATCCTCAAAGCCCAATGAAAGTAGAAGCATTATAAACCCTCTACTATTCATCTCCTTAGTCCATGTGGGACTATTCATTGAAGGCAAAATTATCTTTTCTCCTTTATAATGCCAACAGTCCCTCACAAAAGGCAATATTGACTGAAACTCAAAAGTAAATAAATCAATAAATTTAAAACATATATAGGTTGGGCAACCTTTTGTATCATGAATTCGGGAGAGATAGCTTTCGACTTTGAACCTTTCCTTAGTGAGTTCATCGCAACCTGAGGGACATAATGGACTAGGCCTTGAATAAGGTCCCTTGTATCAGGTATTGACGAAAACACACACAATACGTCTTCATCTATTGAGCAAAGCGGGTTGAGCGTTAAAGTCCTTGTTCACAATAACCGACTCATGAGAGTTTCTAAAGGTTAGCCTAGCCCCCCTGTTAGACCCTAGAGTGAGGGGGGTGATTAGGGTCTTATGCTAATCTAATTCGATTTTATGCCAATTAAAACTAATTAACAAATATATTCTTGCAAGATGGATATACAAAGAGTTATGTGCAAGAATATGCAATATACACAAGATGATATATCCTAGCAAAGAGGTATACTATATGATATATGCAAGGATATGCAAACACAAGGGTAATATAAACAAATGATATAGTGGATGAAATAAACAATGAGAGAAGGGCTATAAAGATGAACAAATATAAGTGTGCTAAGCCAAACTCAAACAAGCAATATGATCACAGAGTTCGGACCTTCCATCCTACGTCTCCGCTCCCCACTCCCGGGGAGAAATCCACTATCACAATCCGGTTTGGAAGCCGGAACTTCTACACACTCGGTTTACAAGTTTACCGAAAACTCTCACACAACAAACACTATGCAATCACACTCTACACCCTCACAAGTGATGGACCTAGCCGTGTCTCCCTCAAGCGCTCGGTTACAACATCTCCTTAGGTTCGTCAACCGACGCCACTCCTCTTGGGACGATCCCCGACTCTCATCACATACTCCTCTCGGTGTACAAGTGTATTACAAAGTGTATCCTCACAATTATGCTTAATATAATAAATGTTTGTTCTCTACTATGGATGAGAACACAAAGAAAGCTCACACTTAATTGTTACAACTCACCAACCCAAATATACTATGTATGAAAATACCATAAGCTCAATGTGGGTGTGTGTAACAATGAGATAATATAATCAAATCTAAACTCAATATAAAAACTAGCTTTAAAGAAAGATAATCAAATAACTAAGCAAATGTAAAGCTAGATAAGAGTTTAGAAAACTTCTCAATAGATCAAGAGGTGGAGGGAGAATAGTTGGAAGCTCAAACTTCAATAGATGATCTCCTCAAGCTCTTGTGGAATTTTCTTCACAAACAAACTCTTGAAACAAACTTAAAAACCCTTCAACAAACTTGTAAAACTCTTTTTAAAACTCTCTTAAACATCCATAAGAAACAATGAAAGTTGAGGGGTTTTCATAGCCTCTTAAACCAGCCACAAACTCCCAAAAACCGAAAATATCAAAAACTAGCCGTTACTAGCCGTTATAGGCTGAAAAGACCAAAATACCCCTAAATTCAGCATTCTAGAAATTTACGTATCTGGTTTTATAAAATCAATTAAAAATAGTAAATCAACTCCAAAAATTATGAAACTTTGAGGGAAGGTTCTAAACATGTATAAGAATATGTTAGAGAAAGAATTTATGAAAAATCATTTCTCATTTGAGATAAATAAATGTTTGAACACAGATATACAGTTTCTGAAAATCTGCTAACATACACGATTTTGTAAAATGAATTGGGCACAGTAAATCAACTCCAAAAATGGTAAAATTTTGAGAAAATTTTCTAAACATGTAGATAAACATTTCAAAGAAAGAATTTCTTAAATATCATTTCCCATTTGTGAAAACGCATCTATTTTGCAAAAACATGCACGAACATGCACGAACGAAAAACATGATTTTGTAAATTCAATTAAACGTAACAAATCAATTTCAAACTTGATGAAACTTTGGGAAATGTTTGCAAATGTGATTTTGAACATGTTACAAAAAATAATTTTCCAATTTGTATTTCCCAATTGTGGAATCTCATTATTTTACAAAATCACATAAGTATGGACTTGTAAAAGCTTGATCTTGACAAAATGAGTTTAAACAAAGTTTTGAAAACTTTCCAATAGATTTATAAACTTGATAAAAGATATAAAATAATATCGTTAAGTCTATAATCCAAAACGACGATAAACCAAACCAAACGTGTGTGTGTGATATTGAGCTTGAAGTATTAACACACATAATATAAGCCCTAAACTAATTTACCCAAGCAATCTTGATTTTCAATAAGCTTGACTTGGTACACTCTGCGGATGAAGCTTGAACTTGGATCTTTAACTTGAATTGCATAGGCTTCAACCACTATTCCGCCAACCTTCATTGGATATCATCGTTTAAGCTCTATTCCATCCATCCTCCAACACGTTGTTTGCCTAGAATAAATATAAAAACACAAACACTAGACAAACAACATTAGATGTAAATTGTTTGCTAAATCACCATCAAAACAAGAAGGCCAACAATCTCCCCCTTTTTGATGATGACAAACAATTTACAAAAAGGGATATATGCATGAAGGAAATGAACATATACAAGATAATACACATGCATATAAACAAGGAATTGTATACTCACAATATTTCTTCCCCTTTGACAATATCAAAAAGGGGACAAATGAATTAAGAGAGCGAAAGCTCCCCCTACAAATAAACATAGGTGAGTATAAAACAAGTATAGGGATTGCTCCCCCTATCAAAATGCCTTAATGAATATATACAATGAATGCTAAGGCATACATATGTGAGCAAGCATAGATGGAAAGTATGCTAAACACTCCTCACATACAAAAAGACAATGAAGACACATATAAATATGCCATTATGAAGATAATGTTTCATTACACTAATATAAAAACCATGTATAAAATAGATTTATGAAATCAAAAGAAAAAGAGCTTGAGAATCATGCAAAATATTTTCAAATGAAAACAAATCAATCAAATAAAATCATAAATCACAAGTAAATCATACAAGAACATAAAACCAAATCATCATTAATTTTCAAAAATCAAGAGAGGCAATTATATCTAGCTATTGAGCTAGTATCAACCCATATAAATATTTTTAGCACCCTTTGGGAATAAACACCCAATAACTCCGGAGGGTTATATAAGTACAAACCTCTCATCAAAACAAAACAAATAACCATGAAAACAAAAGATTTTATCAATTTTAAAATGTTTTCACATAAAAAAGATTTCAAAGCATAATTTTCAAAACCAAGATAAAGAAGGATAAAAACATTAAAATTCTTAGTTTGAAAATCAAATTTGTTTTGGTACCCAAGAACTCTTGGTACCAAAAGATTTAGGGACATGACCCCTATCATTTAAGCTCAAAGCCCTAGGGTTATGAACCCTCTTGGGCACATATGGTGCACTAACATGGTCAAAACAATATTCATTCAAATGACCCTTCCGATTGCAATATGTGCAATGAAAGAGATCCATTTGTTTTTGTGGACCATTAGCTCGTGCACGGGAAACATTAGAAACATTTACAAACATGGATGGTCTTTTAAAATTATTTTGCAAATGA